TATTTAAATCCCGCGGGGGATATTTAAATCCCCCGCGGATTTCCCTATTCCAAAGTTAGAAATTAGCATGCCTCTTCCGGAGAAGGGGCCAGTCTAGACGTAGCCTATGTGTGCAAAGTTGTCCTTGCTAAAAAGAAGACCAGTCTGAGACTTGACTCATCATACAAGGTGCAGTGCACTTTTTGTGAGCTTCTGACACCCCTCAGTTGCTTAGCACTATGCACGATCAACAACATGGCTTGCAAAACATTTGGTAAGCAATGAAAGCTCTGAAATAACATGTTAGTTATTTATAAAGTAAGAGATTACTAAAACACAGCAGAATATTTATCTGTTGAGTCTGGCAGAACTCATATGTATGTGTCTTGGTAAAAATATTCAAGGAAAGATAGAAGAAATACTTACCAAACATGGGCAGTCAATGGCACTGGGAACTCATATTCAACTTAACTACCCCTCCCCCCAAGAGATAAAAGATGTAGTCAACCACTAAGAATTATTTTTAAGATTGCCTTCTGAGTTGCTTGGAATCTTGGCAAGAAGAGCTAACTTTTTATCAGTTGTATTTTGAAGTGGAAATATTTCTATTTTTGTACCATGTGAAGAGCCGAATTATGCACTCAGTAATGCCCATACAAACTTCATTCCAGGGTTGCCAGATGGTTTCAAAAAAAATACTGGACAAAAATTGTCAAGCAGAAAAACCCCACCAAAACACTGGGGAGTAACCAGGCAGACCTCGGGGGCGGGATTCGGGAGGTCGGGCCAAAATGCGGTCGTGGACCCTTTAATTGCTGCGTGTCCAGAGCAGGCTTCCATTGGGTGCTGAGCCGGGCCCGGGAAAAGCAGAAAAAACTTACGTAATTAGAAAATATTTTCTCAATTTGTTTACCAGACATAAAGTCCAAATACTGGACTGTCCAGTTCAATACCAGACATCTGGCAACCCAACCTCATTCACTTAAAGCTTTGTATCTCTACTGGGGAAACTTGGACAGGGACTGGTATCTTAATTTGATATTAACGAGGCAGCACTGGACTCTTTGACAGGCGTATGAGAGTCAAGGTCTAAGATTTTTCTGCTCTAACTTGTGTGCCTCTGGTTCATGTATTCAATCTGCTTCAGTATATGCACGCTGGCATTTGGTCTTTGAATACCGTTTCTTGTTCTGCCTCTCATTGATGCTGTTTAGCTAATAGCTGTACACAATGTGATTCTTTTCTAGTTATCATTAAAAAGGAAACCTAGGAAATTCAATTTAAAAATAGCTGTTACAGAATGGTTAAGGTAGTAAAATGGAACAGGAAATAGTGAAGTTAAGATTACATACACAGGAGGAACAGAGTTCAAGGATCACGGATGGAATATATAAGAGACCCATTAACTAAACAGAATTCTTGAATAATTAATTCTTGCATTATCCATGTGTGTGGTTTTTCTTGGCTTTTGCATTATTGCCTCAATAGGTGCTGGGGGTGAATTTTCAAGGGGTTCCTACAAATCACACAATATAAGGATGTATTTCTAAGTTCTTAGGGCTTTTTTTGAAAAGCAAGGTAAGTGTGAAGGAGTCTATCAGGTATTCCCTTTCCATGGCTGGAGGTGATGGGACACTGACACCTTCCTGCTTAAGGAAAGCCTGCTCAGAGCAGGGCAATGATAAGACTTAGTCTTCTAAAGCTTGAGAAAACCAGGAGGAGATAGTGACCAATTGAGAGTCAGCAAGACTGCTAAGAAGAGTTGCCAGCTTTCGCTGAGTGACATGCTGAGTGAGGCTGGGATAGAACTGGAGCAAAACACCTCAAACTAGCTCAGAACCTCAGGGTCTGGTTAGGCCTTTTGCTTGAAGGACAATGAGTAAGGCCGGGTATACACTACCACTTACTTTGGTATAACTTACAGTTGCTCAGGGGTGTGAATAAGCCATCCCTCTGAGTGATGCATGTTGCATAGACCTAAGCACCAGTGTGGACAGTGCTATATTGGCAGGATTTATTATGCTTGAGGGAGAGTTCTTTCTAATTGGCAGAGTGCTTTCACTAGAGGCACGGCTGCATTAGTGCAGCTGTGCTGATGTAATGCTTTCAGCGTAGACTTGCCCAAAGAATTACCTTTGTTTGTAAGTTAATGATATAGACAGCTACATTTTGAATTTGTTCAGCTGCTTAAAGACTGGCACCAGCTGTTCTGCTTTGGGCTGACTGCCACAGTAATCTGTTAACTGTGGTCTGTCCTCCTATTTTTGGAAAATGAGATTAGGAAGCACGGTCTACACTGGCCGCTTGAATTTCCGCAAAAACACTGACGATCTCATGTAAGAGTGTCAGTGTTCTTGTGGAAATACTATGCTGCTCCTGTTCGGGCAAAAGCCCTCTTGTGCAAATGCTTTTGTGCAAGAGGGCCAATATAGACAACGCGGTATTGTTTTGCGCAAAAAAGCCCCGATCGCGAAAATGGCAATCGGGGCTTTCTTGTGCAAAACCTCGTCTAGATTGGCATGGACGCTTTTCCGCAAAAAGTGCTTTTGCGGAAAAGCATCCGTGCCAATCTAGACGTTCTTTTCCACAAATGCTTTTAACGGAAAAACTTTTCCGTTAAAAGCATTTGCGGAAATCATGCCAGTCTAGATGTAACCGTTATGTTTTAAAGTATTTATCATATGTTTATTTTTCTGGAATTCTCTTGGGAAGTGGGGTGTTGCAAGAAATTGTGGATGCTCAATACCTTGAGTTGCACCCTAATTGCGTTTGTAGTTTTGGAGATTGTTTGACTTCAGCTGGTAGCCAAAATTTGGAATTCTGTAGGCTGTTTTCATCAGGAGAAGAAATCAGTGCTGCAGTTTGGTATCTCTGATACAGTCCTGCTTGTTTACAAGAAATATATAAAGTCCTGTTTTGCAGCACACATAAGGAATCAAACTGAACACACTTTTTCTGCACATACTTCCAAGTTCCTTTCAGCTAATGCTCATTCACTGCAAAATCTTAAAATTTAAAATTTCTCATTTACAAAGAAATTGGTTGTGCCCACTAAAGCTCATGATACCATCTACATGTTTTGTTAGTTTTTAAAGTGCTACTAGACTATTTGTTGTTTTTAAGTTTTTCCTGTTACAGACTACCCCTCTGAAGTGCCACAAAGTTAGTCACTCTGGGCTTTTTCTGTCAGCCATGCTCACACTGCTTGTTCATATGTGTCCCGGCCTTTTGCTCAACCCTGAATCTGTTTCTACTGCTTCTCTACTTTCTACACACCTCTACTAAACAGTATCCAGCAAAACCCTTCCACTGACTTGTCTTGAATGTGTCTTTGTTTTGGATGAGGCTGCTACTGATTCAGCACATTGAACAGTGGTTTTTCCAAAACGGTATTAAATTAATTATGAGGATTGCACTCATTAGTTTCAATGAATTTAAACCCATAACAATAACTCACCCCATGACAACTGCAATCAAATTATAATCTCCAAACTAATGGCCTTTTGGGGGTCATATGATGGCTACATTAATTAATAAGGAAAAGGGGATTTTCTTTTTCTGCTGAAGAATTAATGTATTAGGTGGAATGAAATACAGAATCAGATTGGATAAACCAAATCATCTCACATGGCAATTCCTCTGGTGGTGTAAGAAGGCTCAGGGGGACTGGATTGTCAGAAAACTTTTCTTCCCTCATCTTCATAAATCAGCAAATGAGAGAAATTAATGTGCTGGTAAAATAAATGAAATTAAATGGGTGATGGAGCAATTCTGACATACATCCTCATATATTTCTCTTGCTTAATTCAAAAGGTGCTGTTAGTTCTTTTAGTACATATTGCTGCAACTGACTTATCATTGTAACCCATTAAATCAGCTGTCTTTTTCCAAAGCAAGCTATTTCTCTTTAATAATGACCCGAACGTCTCTATTATATACTCTAATACTTTTTTCAGCACTGATGTTAGCAGTACAGTTTAATCAGATGCTCAGTCAGCTGTGTCAGTTACATTAAAGACTGCAAGGACATTATTATTGTGATACTGTTGTTTCATTTACACAAGATAGATTTTGTGAATGAGCATGAAGAGGACATTTTCTCATCTAAATGTGCGTATTATCCTTCAGTCAGAATCATCCAGTGAAATGAAAAAGGACCAAAATTCTTTTTGCGGTGAATAATGTGGTATGTTGTAGATCAGTTGTTCTCTAACATTTGTATTGATTACTTTCTCCATACAGCAAGCTTCTCAATGCAACTCCTCCCATATAAATTAAAAACAGTTTTTACATTCAGAACTATTATAAATGCTAGAGGTGGAGTTTGGGTGAGGGCTGATATCTTGCAACCCCCTGCCGTGATAACCTCGTGACCCCCTGTTTGAGAATTCCTGTTGTAGAGGGAATGGCTAGCCAAACATTACAGTCAGAACAGTAACAGGATTGTGATGCATACTTAACATGAAAATGTGTTTGGTGTTGTTTCTGGTGCAGAGTTAGAAGCCTGAACAATTTCTTTTTAAACTATATCTTTATTTCTGTTGATCTCTCTCATGTGTTATCTTATTCTTGCTTTTCAATCTCTAAGGTATTTGTTTTGAGATGGCTAAGATGTCTAATTCCAGATCAGGTTAATGGGACTTTCCTCAAATAGAGAACATCGCAGTTTAAAGGAGGAGCAGGTGATTACAAAATGGGACTTGTGTATGTCCCCATGAACAGTGCAGTCAGACAAATAAGGTCTCTTCCACCATGATTGCAACCTCTTCAATCCAGGTTATGCAGTCTAGACGGGATCTCGCGGAAAATAAGCCCTTTTCCTACTTTCAAGTAGGAATAAGGGATCTTCCGGAAAAGGGCTTATTTTCCGCAAGATCCCGTCTAGACTGGCGCTTTTCTCTGGCAAAACCCCGAGCCGGAAAAAAGCGGCAGCCATGTTCATGCAAATGCCGTGGGGGATATTTAAATCCCCCGTGGAATTTGCAATTCCGAAGTGTCTCATTAGCATCCCTTTTACGGAAAAGGGTGCCAGTGTAGACACAGCCTTTCTGTTTTTCACATCTCCTTGCTTATGTAAACTTATTTTCTTCGAGTGCTGTCCCTGTGGTTGATCTACTTTAGATGTTGGTGCATCCTCATGCTGGTGATCAGATTTGTTGCAGCAGTGCCTGCCACACCACACATGCACAGAAGGTGTCTTGTGGTGCTATTGGAGCTTATTGACTGCATGCGCAGTGTGACTCCCTCAGTTCCTTCTCTATTATCCTCGGCAGCAGATGGAACTTCTCGTATTCGCTCTTTTTTGCCTGAAAAAAAATTTGAAATACTTTAAACCCCTTAATTTCTTCCCCAGTTTGAACTTCAACTTGTTCTTTAAAAAGAAAGAAAGTATTTTTTGTTCAGCCTCCACCTGTTCAGTGGGCTTGTATCTGTTACTCGCACAAATTTCTCTATCCCTTCCACACTTTAAGGGAACACACCTTTACCCAATTCCTAGGGCTCAAGATGCAACCCTGTTAATTTACACACCCACCCGTACCCAATTCCTAGGGCTCAGGGCGGAACTTCCTGCGGGTTTGCAGGAACTTATGCCACTGAAAGAGTCTCACACAGTAATATTCTTATTTTCTATTTATTGACAATTCCCAAGCAAGCAGAATACATATGCTAAGCACACAGTGTCATGCTCACCAATCCTAATACTGGCAGGCAGACTTCCCCGGTTGGCCAGGCAAGGTCAGTCTCTCTGGACCTTAGCTGCTGCATGAAATGGTCGTGCAGAAGAACCCTGGCAGCTCTGGTCTTAGGCTGTGTCTTGGAGGTGAGTTCTTCTTGTCCTTCCTTCCTTCCTTTCTCTTTTGCTCTTCTAGCTGGTCTCCTTCTTGGATTCCAGTTTATATAGTGAAACCTGAGTCGTGCTTAGCTATACCTTAACCAATTATTTTAGTATAATTTTACTAACCAATCATAACATACTGTAGCAGAATTACCTAACCAATCATACCCCACCACTTTAGTTTATTTACACTTAGCAAAATTAATTATACAGCAGACAGAAACAGTTACAAACCAGACAGATATGACACAGACAAACAATAGGAAAGTGAGGACAATAATCATAGAATGAGGATTCCACAACCACAACTATTGATAAGCAGTTTGTTGCCAGACAAAATGCTGTTAATTAAGTTTTCTTTACCCATCTTGATATCCGTTTCTTATCTGGTGACAGTGGGGGCTATTAGGACAGGATCCCCTTCTCACAGCCTAGTGTGACACTATTTTAATGCAATTTAGATGGAATGTGAATATGTGACTCTAGGCTTTACAGCTAATGGCTGCTGCTCTTCAGTCTGGCTGCAGAGGAAGACTTTAGTTTAGGCCTACCAATATGGCTACAGGCCTTCCAATATGCTACAGAAAAACCATATTGTTACAGTACCCTAAACTTCTGACAGATAATGCTAAATGTATGTTCTACATAAACCAACAGAGTACAGTTGCATTCCCTCTGTGTGGAAGGCCTCAAATTGTGGAACTGGTGCATCTGCCACATTATTACACCTACAGCAGCCTCCCTACTGGGTGCCCTCAACAACATGGCAGTCTTAGCCATCATTTCTTGGAACAACATGAATAGGAGCAGAACACTGCAGTCATTCACAAATATTTCACAAATGGGGATTCCTGCAAATTGACCTTTTCACAACTCATACAAATTGCAAATCTCACCAATTCTGCTCTAAGGAGGGCTCTGGTGACGCTTTTCTCATCCCATGCACTGCACCACTCCTATATACCTTTCCACCTATACCACTCATATCTCAAATTCAAAAGATACATGAAGACCAAGCGTATATCATCCTGATAGTGCCAATGTGGCCCAGACAGAATTGGTTCCCTTACCTCACGTGACTGGCAGTCTGCAATCTTCATTCACTACTGCACCACACAGATTACTTATCGCAAAACCACAATCAGACACTGCACCCGAATTCAGCAAATCTTCACATCAAAGCCTGGTTCCTCCATGACTCCATCATGCTGAAGAGACCTGCTCAGATAGAGTAAAACAAATATTAATAAATGGCCATCACCCTATGTCATGATCATGAGGGACAGCCAGCAGCCTGGGGACTAAGGGGTTAACTATACCTAAGTCAGGTAGAGTTAGCCAATCGGAATATAGGTAGGAATCTCAAACTAGGACAAAGGAATTTTTGAGTTTCCTTACTTTGTCTCTGGGGAGGTTTTTCTCCAGCTATTGAAGGGAACAGGATGCCATTCCAGTAAGTCTGTGTTCTATTTTCACTCCAACTCATCTGACGAAGTGAGTTTTACCCACAAAAGCTCATGATTCTCTGTATATTTGTTAGTCTCTAAGGGAAAGTCTAGACTACAGGCTTTTGTCAACAGAAGTTTTGTCGACAGATACTGTCGACAAAGCTTCTGTCAACAGAGTGTCTAGACTACATCCAGTTCTGTTGACAAAGCAAGCCGCTTTGTTGACATGACAGTGTAGACGCAAAGGACACTGTAGATGCAATAACGCCTTCTGTCGATAGAACCCTGTCGACAAAAGGCGTTATTCCTCGTAGAATGAGGTTTACAGACGTCGACAAAACTGCTGAGTTCTGTCGATATTATGGCGACAGAACTCAGCAGCAGTATAGATGCAGGTATAGTTTTGTCGACAAAAGTCCACTTTTGTCAACAAAACCCTGTAGTCTAGACACACCGCATGAGTATATTATTTTGTTACTGTTCCAGCTAGTCATTATGCTTGCAACAGGAATATTGTGGTGATAATAAAAGTTCTTTCTCTTTTCTTTTTATTAACCTGGTATTGCTTAATGGTTGTGTCCTGGTTTGTACTTTAGGGGTGAGATTTCCCAAGTAGTCTCTCCCTGGTTGCTTTATTAATATTTGGGTGGTGGCAGCGGAGATTGTATCCCCAAAATCTAGGTTGTTTGAACAGGAGAGAAGTGCAGGTTAAATAGTGCTTGTGATACTTAGGCAGAGCCCACATACCCAAACAAAACACCCCCCTCTCTTCACTGGGATATGGCTGCACCAACCATAATATGTCCCAGATTTTCCAGGACAGTCCTGAATTTAAATCTCCTGTCCTGATGTCCCCATAAAGCTGTGGAATGTCCCAGAAAGCCCCAGGGTTCCAAACGCAGCTAGAAGTGGCTGTGCACTGCTGTTCCCCTCCCACAAGATACCAGAAGTAGTGAGAGTCTGCTTCTGGTGTTGGTGTTGTGCTCAGCTCTCTGAACAGCAGGGAACATGCATGGTGGTGATACCACCAGAGAACACTGGGGCTGGAGCTTCGTGGCCCAGGCCAGAGCTCCCTGGCTGCTGCTGGGGTTGGGACTGGAGCGCCGTGTTTCAGCCTGCACCCCAGCCCAGCAGAGCCCAGGAGCCCTTTGCCACAAACTGGGGGGCTCTGGCATGGCTGAGAAGTGTCTGGCCTGGCCCTTCCCCCACAATGGCTAGACGGAGAAGGTGGACCTGGCAGGGGAGCCAGCCCAGGCTCGGGTCCCTCCCACAGGGCGGGGCCGGGCTGAAGAGTGTGAGGGCTTGGGCGGGGTGGAACAGCCTGGTTGTGTGGTGGCCTTTGACCTTCTGTGCTATCTGCAGCGGCCGGGAGCGGTGCAGGGCTCCCAGGGCCATGGGAGGGAGGGGAGGAAGGGGCTCGGCATGATGTGGGACCCCCCACTATTTCTCACCCGGTCTGGAGACCAGCTGCACTGCATGGCAGCAGCATAGTGGCATGAAGCAGCCCAGCTTCCCAAAGAAAAACCAAAGAAAGAGGGACCTGCCAAAACCAACCAGGAGGGGGAAACAAGCCAGGCCTCACAGGTGTTACCCAGGTTGGCTCTCTGTGAGTGGCTTGTGAATGTCAACAGAAAGCCCTTCTTCTCCACCCTCTTAGGTCTGTGAAAGGCAAGTTACTGTACTAGCAAACAGCAAGTTCAAGGTCCAGCAACAGAATTAACTTTTCCCTCCCATGCCCACTAGCCTGGCTCTCAGGGACTCTGGAAAGGTACTCCAGGATAAGGGACGAATATCACCCTCTGGAAGAACTTGGCTTGAGTTCATGAAGGCTAGGTCCACTAATGGTTATTAATGGGAGCATCCTCTGTCTAGCCCTTCCCTCCTCTTTTGTGGGCTCAGAGCAGCAGGTGCTAGCTGCCTGCCCAGCTCAGCATCCTGGTGGAGCCACGTTGAGTTCTCCTGTCCGAGACCGGCATGGGGGGGAGGAGGCTGCCGCTGCCAAACTGAGCGGCTCTAATTGCTGCTCTCCGTCTGGTGAATGATTAATAGGCAGTGGTGATGAAAAGGAGAAGGAGAAAAGCTCTCCACAAGGCGACATAGGTGGTATCCTTCCCACCTGGCCCAACTCGGCCCTGCCTGGCTCCGCATTGCTCAGCTCCCACCTGCAGCCA